GATATCCAAGGTTAATTACACTGTTTTCATGATCTTATCTCTATTTCTGACACTGCAGGCTCTTCATTTTGAATAGCATCTACTCTTTCAGAGTACAGCATTTCTCAAAAAAAAGCAACCTCATACCTGTCATCCTCAGAGCATACTTGTACTTAATCAGTTTATTTGCTGGAAGGATTTGCACGTTTTTGTAGCTATTAGCAGAACAGTGGAAGCACAAACTGGGTTCTAGCATAGCTCACTCAATAACAGGATCATTATCCAGTTTAAAAATTCAGGGGCAAAGTTTGCCCTTAATTATACTTCTGTAGCTCCAGGGACCATAACAGTTTGCAGAGGGATTTCATTTTGAGCCAACATGACAGCTACAGGAACTTTGTGTCTTACTACTTGTGGAATCTTTGCAACTGAGTTTTGCAACTGAATCTTTGCAACTCCAGGGAAATAACTTTGCATTATGATTAGCTGAGTCAGCAAGACTGTCAGGCAAAAAAATCTTAAGGCAAACTTTGTGAAGTGCTCCATCCGACAAAAGGATTATTAGTCTTACCTCCGCTGTCTGTCTAACCACTATGGACCGTCAATCCAACAGGTTTTAGAATCAAATTCCGTGGTTTCTAATTGTTATAAACTTCTTATTAGAACATATGAAATTTTGGCAGTAGCAATTTGCTCTCTTTTAAAGACATGATGTGAAGTCTTCTAAGTTAATATGTCACATGCAAAAGTTTCAACATGGAAAGCCTTTGAAAATAGCTCTTCCATTGTCCACAAACCCCATTATTTTTTATTATCTATTCTCAAAAGTTCTGCCATGATTTTCATAGCTGAGCACACAGCAATGCAAGTCCTTCTTTCTACCTGTTTTATTTCCAGCTCCCAAGCTGAGAAATAAAAACAATGGCTCAGATTCTGTATCTATCCCATTTTTCGTGCTGTCAGCCTCCTGTACTAGCTGTGGCATTGTGGTTTGCTTTGGTTTGTTTTGTTTGGTTGGTTTTGGTTTGGGGTTTGGTTTTGTTGTTTTGTTTTTTTTCTGTACACTGGTCTCTATTCTCTTGCCATATACATAGTTCTTTTATTATCCTTATTTGCTATGCAGGTGAGAGACAGTGTTTACATAATGATTTCTGCAGGTATATGTAGTTCTTCTGAAGCCAATCTGGTGATATGCTGTCTCATGAAGATCCCAAAATATTTAAACAGATGTTGAAATAAAATAACCTTTATTCTCCCCTCCCAGTTATGTTTGCATTTTGAGTAACTATTAACAGAAAAGTAAGGCATTATCTGAGTATTCTAGACACAAGTTGTTAGTGCTGTTCATATACCTTGTAAAAGAGAAATCAACACATGGTTAAAGTATGCTTGCTAAGATCACTTTTAAGCTAAAAGATCAGTAAGTTACATTTGTGTCAGAAGAATCTTTTGATATTTCTTCTTGTTGAAACTTCCTTTTTTTTCTTTCTTTCTGCAAAATCATGTTTCCCTGAGTTTAAATATCCTCATAGTATTTTTACTTTCGTGTACATGGGAATCTAGCCAGTTTTTTATTATCTGACTCAAGAAACATAAAAATATAAATGGATCAAAAATGTATAATAAAGAGATAGCAGTAAATTATTAACTAGTGTGGTTATAGACAGTCAAGTTTTGCAGTCACAATGCTCATTTTACCCTGGTTACTGAATTGTATGTGTCCAAATATAACTGTAAATCTTTTAATTGAAAATCACTTCATGAGCAGTTTGATATAGTACTGTTGCCAGAAGTTAAGTTCACCTCATTCTAACACCTGCCTCAGCACTTTTCCCACTGCCATTAAAAAAATCTGCCCTCAGTTCCTGGTAAGGACAGATACACAGTGGAGAAAACTCAGACTTCAGAAAAGCTTAAGTGAAAAAAAAAACAAAACATAAATCTGCTAATAAAGGTGAGTCTACCAAGAATGAAACTTCCTTGTCTGTATGTGCCTTTGAGCAACCTGGGGTAACAGTCCTGAGCAGCTCCGTTCCCATGGGTTTTAAAACCAGCATGTTACAGATGTGGAAACTGTAAACCTATGATTTAAGTGAATATGGAAATAAATTCTAACATAGTTTTCATAAACCAAAGAAGTCTAATTCATCACCAACACCAGGGAATCACAAGAGTTCAATTATCTTTTTCCTAGAAAAATGCAGGGAAACTGGATTTTTGCAAAGAAGTAGAAACAAATGTGTGGGTCCATTAAAGACATTTTTCTGAAGTGCAACTGGCAATTAGGTTTTAAGAAGTATCTTGAATAAGGAAAAAGTTCTTGCATACAAATAATTGTCTCTACAAAAATAGCAAGCTTCTTCCAAAACTGTTTTTCAGTGTTTTGTTTTTGTGGTTCTTTTTACAGGTGTTGCGGCTTTGGATTCCAATGTTTCTGGGAAGATTGGTTTGCGAGCAGTCATATATTATTTAAGCACTACACTCATTGCTGTATTAATAGGTACTCTGTGATAGTGTAACTTTTAAAATCCTCAGCATTGCCTAATTACAATTATACAGCATTGTGACATTACTAGTTTCCCAAAAGAGGATGGGGAGAAGGGACAGAAATGATACATCTTGACACATTTGACACACTTGTTGCCAGATAAAGGAAGGATTAGTCCTGTGGTTTAGAGCTGGGCTGTATTCTTATCTAATGTGAAGCCACAGGCAATTTCACCAAATGCCTCAGCTCAGGGAAGATGAGAAGCTGGCTGCAGAATAAACAGTGACCAGCAGTGGGAAAGCTGTATGAACATCAAAGGCCACCCTTAACTGCTAAGTGCATTTCTTCAATAGCAAACTGGCAGGTGGTGGCTGATTTTCAGTTGCCAGAATGTATAATGTGTGTTACCTGAAAGATGACAGAAAATATTACTTACTTCATCATCTTGTTTCCTTCTAAAAGGTTTTTGTCTCCTCTGTCACTGCCAGGCTCCACTCCTACTTCTCTGCAGTGCATATCTCCCCTCCAGGAAGTTCATTCCCTAAAAGCAACCATGAGATCTCCCATATTTGCTTAAGCAAACGTCTTCAGCCTGCCTTTTAAAATAAGAAACAAAATTAAGCCCTCCTCTGTCAAGCTGTAGTTTGTGGCTTATCTTTTTGTTTTGTTGAGCCTGAGTGAATAAAATGCATACATAGCACTCACTAAAAAGAAGCTTACTGATTTGAAAGTAAAAAATGTGCATTGTGTGTGCCCTATCTGTAAAGCAAAGTGATATTTAACTATAGAAGGAGAATCACATACAGATGTGTAAGGTGAGAATAATTTCTAGAGGTTGCTTCACTGAGAATAGTGTATCACTTTTAGGCTGTCTCATCTGTGTGGAAATTTTCTGTGAATACATAGCTTGGAAAATTAATAAAGAAAAAGATATATATATACACACATATACACACACATATATATATACATATAACTAGACTATCTTTAATATATATCTAACTTTGAAATTGTCCCTACCATCAGAGAGGGGTTAAACAAGACAATCTACAGAGGTCCCTGCTGTCCTGTGATACTATGGTATTGTTTCATTGTGCAGTTACATAAATTCAATTCTGCTTTTATTCATAGCTGTCATTTAGTAGTTTTATTTGCTTTAAGTTTGTTTAGATTTTGGGAGATAACAAAACCAAAACCAGATAACCCCAAAAACATAAAACGAAAAACAACCCCAAAATCCTGTACATTTGGAAAGGCCTAGTATTTCATGTAGTAGTAAAAATGCTGGAAATGAAGCCACTAAAGTAAATGCAAAATTGGTTGTATATTTCAGTATTCACAAAGTCAAAGCTAGTATTTCCTGTCTATAGTTTTTTATTTCAGTCTGTTTCTGAAGCCCTTGTGTAGCGTTATTGATAATTAACTTTATCCTGTTGTACTTTAGAATCACAGGACAACACAGTTGTATTCATATCTGAAAGACAGTAGCAAGAAGGGGAAAGCTTAAGGGGAAAGGAAATAGCAATTTGAAATATCACCATGCAAAAGTTGCAGAACAGTTCATCTGAAGCCCAGCTGAAGTAACCTGCTGCCTTGGTGATCAGTACTGATTTAGTACCATACTTATAAAAACAAAGCTAGAGTGCCAAAGTCCAGTGGCAATGCCTCCTGTGTTGGGGGAACCCACACAATTAAGGGCACCACCTGTAGACTTAATTCTTAACAGCTCTGCATAAGCACTCTGGGAAAGCATTTGGTGAGTTTAGCTCATGAAGGATGTAGCTACACAGCTTACACTGAGGCAGGATGAACCAATGCTTCTGCTCTGCACAGAACTCTTCCTCTGGTTCTCCTTCTGCAGGGATTGTCTTGGTTGTAACCATTAAGCCTGGAGCGTCTCAAACAGCAGAAGAGATTGACAGAGTGGGCAGTACCCCTGAAGTCACTACTGCTGATGCCATGCTGGATCTGATCAGGTGAAATTTTATTTTTTAGTTTACATAGTCATTGCAGAAATCCAAATACAAATAAAGTTGTGATGTGTTGTACAATAAAAATACTTTCTAATGTAATTTAGATGAGTAAGGAGAGAATAACTGGTATTCCAACATTGTAGAGTATGCAAAGTAGTTTGTTAAAAAATCTCCCTTTACGCCATAGACTTTAGTTAATAAACCAATGACAACAAAAACTCCCTCCACAGGAAAGTGAGATGCAAGATTTACCTATTATGAATAAAATATCCAGAAAGGATTGAATGGTTGGTGGGTTGCTGACTGACAGGTTCTGTGCCATCCTGTCTAGACGGCCACTTGAAACTGCAGTGTTACGTTTCCCCTCCTCAAGGTGTGATGCAGAGTAACAGATGCAGTATGCAAAGGTTTCTTAGGGTTGCACAGTCAACAGGTTTGCTCTGCCACCGGTATCTAATGCTGCCTTAAAATGAGTCTTCCCCCAACAGCATGCTGGAAAATGGGTAGATAGTTGAAGTGATTAAAAGAAAACCCCTACTAAAGTCTCATGCAGACTTGAGTAGGTTTTCAGAGCTACTGTGTTTAAGGAATTAGAAAAAAAAGTCACAAAAAAGGACTGCAGTTCTGGTAGTGGTGAAGTAGTTTCCTCAGAAATGTTTCTGTGCATTTTTTTTTTTTTTGCCAGCTGCAGTTGGTCACTGTTCTGTGTCACTATTCCTGCCCACTATTTTCTGTTCTTAGAATTTTTACTTAATCTAACATGTAAGAATGAGCTGACACATATCTAAAATTGGCTTTCTCATCACATTTTATTTCAGGAAATGTGACTGGCATTTGCAGATTAAACTCTAGACACAGTATTCTTTGATACTTATGAAATATACACACACATATGCGTACATGTATATATCTGCTTTGAAAAGGTCAGTGTTCTATTTAATAGCAAACGTCTGCTGTCATCTGGGGCATTTCTACTCTAGCACAGATCAAGTTAGACCTCTTTGAGAATAACACAATTTCTCTGAGGTTTGTATGTAAGACAATTAATTAACAGTACTCAACCCCCTCATCCCTGTATTCAACAATCCAGAGTTCTTCCTAGCATCTGTCTCCTCCTGCCTGTGCATGACTAGAATGGAAACTCCTTGGGTGGCTTATCTCCTTCCTCATTGTCACTTGTCCAGGAATCAAAGAGAGGAACTGTGCAATCAGCTGCATTATCACACCAGTCTGTTACCAATAGCTTCCACATGAATATTTACACTCATACTTGTAAGGCTGATGTAGTTCCATGCAAAAAAATTAAAATCTTCCTATAGTAAGAAGTGATGTGAATTGTAATTCAGGGTAGTTTGGGGTTTTGCTACAGTTACAGCTCAACTTCCTGTCACAAATGTAAGACTGTAAATTAGGAGTTTGAGATCTGAAATTCTATTTTAAAGGAATTAAATAGTTAGTTTTCTTACTTATTAGTCAGATTTAAAAGGAAAATCCAGACAGTCTTGTAAAGGTTAAGGAAATTGACAATTTACAATTGACATTGTAAAAACTATTCTTGCCTTTGAAAAAGTTTTACTTTAAAAACTTGAAAAAAAAGGCAGGAGTTTGGGAAAGATCTGGAAGGGAGGTAAGTTTTGTTTCAATATATAAAGGGCCTTTTTCTGCACTAGTCTGGGTATTCAGTAAATACCTAATAATGCTTTTGTCTGCAGTTGTTTTAATCTGACATTGGTGGTTGAACAGGAGGCATATGTGCACTGCTTCTGATCTGATTTCCTAATTTCCAAGTATTTCAATGTGCTAAAATTGTTGTATACTCTGGAATAACACATGGGAATCTTCCATCAGCCAAGATTAATTTCTGAATTCAAAACTACAGTAGAACACACCAAATACATGATTCTACCAGCACAGTGTTTATAACAGGGTTTGGGGTTTCTTTGGCTTATATTTGACAAATCCTATAAAAATGGGTCTGTCCTGCATTCTTCATGTAAATCACAGAGATGATGCAGCAGGAGCAAAAAACACTGTGTTTGGTAGCTTACCAAAAGAAATGTCAAAGCCTGATAAATAAGTCCAAAAAACCAACAGTAGACAAACAATCATCTGATCATAAGGAGTCCTGAACGCTTAATTTCTTTGGACTTTATACACAATGATGCTACAAAATACACAGTTTTCTGAATGAAGGAATACAATCTGATCTAGTTTTCAAGCAGCAGGCTTTATAATTTCATTTATAGAAAAAAAAGTTCTTAGTTCTTATAAAAGACATACAGCATTATCTATGCTATAATGTTGAAATATGTCTACTTTTTTAACAGGAACATGTTCCCAGAAAACCTTGTCCAGGCCTGTTTTCAACAGGTAAGTCTGAACCTTCCTACAAATTATTCTTTTATATCCCCCTAAACGATGTCAGGTAAGAATTATTTCTGAGAAGCCCAAGAGTATCTTAATCTCCCATCAAAAGACTTTTCTTTAAGACATCTTGGTTTCATTTCCATTATGAGAAACACTGTTATTGGCTATTAAGTCCTAGATAATCTTGCAAAAAGACACTGTTTAGGAGCTGTGTGCAGAAACCAAGCAGTATATAAGACAAGATTTTTCCTTTTGGGATAGGCAGAGTTAGAAGAACCACGTAATGATGATCTATTTCCGTGTTACTAAGTGAAGTCAGTGTGCTACAATTTTAAAATAGCATCACTTACCTTATGGTTTCTAACCACTGGGACTCTCTGCAGATTAGGTCAAATCTTAATACTTGTTGATACATAAATTATGTATCAACATAAGAATCATCTAGACTTGAAAAACAGATAAATTAATACAAATCACTCAGTCTTCAGAGAAAGCAGATGATGACGGAAGTGTCTCTGGCCACCAGGGGGTCTGGCTCTTGCTGTTCAGCAGCAGCTCCCGTCTAGGTTCCCCCTTAGGACTTGTATCCTGTTTGATTTTATGGACAGTTCTCTGGGTGCTATTATACTTCCATGTGCTGTGGTGGGATCATGAACAGTACCGGGTTGGCCGAGTGCCTGGGACCTTCCAGGCTGCTAAGGAGGGAAGTAGTCAGCCTGGTGCCCAATAACATTTAAGCTTTTAGGGAGGGGTAGAAGAAATCTGTTTAATCCATCTGCATAGTGCACAGGACCTTCAGGGTCTGATAATGAGCAGAAAGGGGGCCAATAAGGGACCAGCTTGGCCACAGAAAATTACTTATTGAATGGCATTAGTTACATTAACTACATTACCAGGACTCTGGTATCAAGTGAATCTGCTCTGCCTCTCCTGGGGTGGCTGTCAGCAATTCTCTCCAAGCTGTTTGTCACAGCAGAAAGTGTCCTTGCCATTGTCCAGAGGTGTATTATCCCCTCAAGACTGCACCAGATCTGCAGAACATCCGAGGGCCTGGGGAGCAGAATTCATGGCGTATTTTCTGTGAATCACTTGTTTGATCTACAGCATCTGAAGTACGGAACTGTGATGGCTCATGTGAATGGGGAAATAAAGAGTTTGTCTATGTTTGCTGTCTTCAAGTCAGATTGGTTAATTTTCCCCTTATTTTAACTGGACAAAGGCTACGCCTTTTTAAGTTTCCATGTGTTTCTAAATAAGCTCTTCTTCTTTTTACAAAACTTTTCCAGTATAAAACCAAACGTCAAAAAGTGGAAGCTAAAATTGGCATGGATAAAAATAGCTCTGCAGTTACAAAAGAACCTGGTGCAAAGGTACGACCTTTATTGTATTTCTTCACAATGTATGAAGTGAGGAGAAAGAACATGAAAGAAATTTTGTTTATTTGATGCGATTAGTGTTTGAGAAAAGTCAGGAAATGGTACATAGATAGGTTTTAGCAAGGGCACAAAACATAATAAGTAAATGCTAGAGGTGGGTATGAGGGTCTTCAAGTAGGTTTAAGAGCACCGGAGGACTCAATTGGTAATTAAACAGTCCAAAAACAATAGATGATGTCATAAAAAAAATCAATTCATGTGCTTCATTAAATGTATATGCTAATAATTTTTTCATTTTGCTGAGAAACTGAAGAAAAGTCACTGTGAAAAGGCTGCGTATATAGCAGCATGACATGTTTCAGCAGCAATGAGATAACTGTAAGCACTGCAGAAAAAAGGAATGAGTTGGGTTTTTTTTTAATGGAAAGCAAAACAATAGAAGGCATTTGTTAATTGTTTGTTACTCTGCTGTAAGGAGACAAAAGTGAAGAGGTGGCTTAGCAAGACTCTGATTGAAGTTGTGGAAAGCTTATGGGTGTTAATGGTTTATAAAGCCTAGAATTACTTTGAAGGAGAGTGATAAAGGAATTCAGTAGAATATGAACACAGAGCTATGAACAGTACCAAATCAATATGCATGTGATTATACTGCTTCCAAATTCCATCTCGTTGTGAGTGCATGGGAACATGAGCTAATTAAAAAAGATTAATTAAATCCTGAAGCACGATGTAGTGAAGAATTGTACCCTTTCCTTCATATGTTCATACCTGAGAACAGATAAATGTATGACTACCTACCTATTTAGTATGATGTTTGTGGTATGTGCATCCAGTTCTGCTACAAAATATGCAGTTTCACTGGTTTCAGCTTAACAATAGATTTTAAACTTGGGGCGAAACTGGACACCATTGTCTCGGTTCTTATGTAATGAACTATTTATCTTAAATCCAGACACAGCCCCTCGAGTTGTTTAAAAATAGCCACAAGCATTCTACATCAGTTGTGTTTTGTCCTCCACAGTAGGGAGCGGGTCTTGAGTATATTGAAGGCATGACTGTGGATACCCAGACCTTGCCATACTTTGTGTCAGAAGTCTATAGAAAGGGCAATATAAATTATGGGGTGTTTTGTAGCCTGCTTGTGTTTGTTCAGATCCTTGCATAGCTTTAAAATACAAAGCTTTCAAAGACAATTTAGTTCTGCCTTCATTCCTGAACTTGCCCATTTGGCACTAGCAGTAGGGGAATAGGGTGACTGGGGAAGAGCTCTTGTGTCTTCTCAAAGGAAAATCTAAGTATATTTTCATTTTAGTACTCTTCAAAGTAAATTCATTGTTGTCAGATAGTAACTTCTTTCTCTTTAATCTTATCTCTAGAACAAAACCCAAGAATACAAAATTGTGGGCGCATACTCTGGTGGCATCAATGTGCTGGGGTTGATAGTCTTTTGTCTTGTTTTTGGAGTGATTATTGGCGAAATGGGAGAGAAAGGACAAGTGCTGTTCGATTTTTTCAATGCCCTGAATGAAGCTACAATGAGAATAGTTCAGATAATTATGTGGTAAGTCCAAGGACATATTAACATTTTCTAACAACTTCTTTAAGTGGTTTTTTTCATTGAAGAGGTTGGAGTGGACTCATACTTAATGTTTGCTTTTGTACAGTGCTTTGCAGAATACAGCTTTAAAAGAAGGGCTGGTTAGAAGTTTGCTTTCTACAGAACTTGATCCTTTTGAGGAAACTGGAGACATAGCTTCTACTTACTGTATACTAAGGAAGAAGTCCTATTGATGCACAAGAAACCTGACTATTTCACACATTCTTGCTAGAGGTTTATAGCAAACCAGTGCAGCTGCACTAGTGATGTGCCCCATGTGCCCCTCTCAGTCTTTTAACACTATTCCCTTGCAGCAAAATACAGTGTAACATAATTGACCTTCTGCATATGGGTTTTGTGAGGTACCATTCACACAGTATTCACTCAATATTCTCAGACAGGAAAAAAAAAAAGTCACACTGTCATCTGATAGTGTTTGATTGGACTTTACAGCAACTCACAGAGGTTTTCTCCACACAGATCACAATCACAGTACTAGGACTAAAGCACACACAATCCTTTCCAGGATTTGATCCTACATGTGAAGTCTCTTGTGCCATTGCTGCAATATTCTCTCTGCTCATGTCGACCTCCTTCACACAAGCAGTAGCTTATCAGATCTGATTATTCCATGGATTATTATTTTTCCATATCAGCACACTGAGATGCCTGTGAAGCAGTAAACCTGTCTAGAGTTGCTGCTTTTAAAGAAAGTTAACTTAGTTTCTGCAAGTTGTCCTGTGCTGGACAGCTCGTTCAATCCCCAGCTGAGTTACAGCCCCATGAAATAGTCTGCCTCACTCTGGCAGGAAATCTCCACTAACAAGACCCAAGAGTTAGCACATGCCACAAATACAGGCTCTTACCCATAAACTGACTGTCCAATGGCTTGCACATGCCTGTGTTCCTACAGATGTGGGAGCTGTTGCCTTGACTAAGGCACAGTTTGATGCTGGCAGTGTGAGGAATTAGTTCTGCTTTCACCAAGTTCAGGGCTCTGAAGGAAGTAGGAGTCCCTGCTTTACACAGGGACATGGTGTATTTTATTTGTGAGATAGCATACACACATTTATAAAGTAATAATTTGTATTTTAAAATTGATACATTGTGTATATTCACAAATTGATAAATTAAGTTATATTACTCAAAGTTCTGAAGTGACAGCTTGTCTCTGTGACAGCCTGCTCTTTGGTACCAAAAGGAATGCAGTGGAGCTGGTGCTAGCATAAGTCCTGTTTTTTACCTTGAATTTTCTGTAGGCAGTAACCTTTGCAGCTGTTCAAGGCTGTAAGGCATGGCCTTCTGCAAGTTCACTTAGGGATGGGGACCCTTCCAAGTGACACACTGATGACTGCACTATCCCAACATAATAAGATCACTCTTATTCTGTGCAAGTGACCTGCACATTAGCCCCCAGTGTTGCAGGCAGCTGCTGTAAGCACAGCATCCCATCTGGTTCTGCAATCTGTGTGATTGCAATGCACAGATAATGGTCTCAGCCCTGCAAACTTCTACCTCCAAGTAAGCTTATGGCTATGCTTAAACATATGCTGCAGTAGGGCAAAGCCCACACATCTTCCCAACTTCTGTGTATTCAGTGACACCAGGTCATACTGTACTTGTTAGACAATGCATAGAGTTACATTTACTCTCATTTTCTAATATTTTTTCATCACCTCTGTTGTAGTCTTGCTGCAACTGAATGAAGTCTGTTGTATAATAGAATATAAAAAAATCTTCAGTGTGTAATAGAATATAAAAAAGAAGTCTTACCTGTTGTAAAAAGTTTTACTGTGTGAGAAATTACCCTGTGTTGAGCTTGTAATCTTAGAATGTACTTTAAATTGCTTTATTTTTGCTTCGTAGGTATATGCCAATTGGTATCGTGTTTTTAATTGCTGGAAAGATAATAGAAGTTGAGAACTGGGAAATCTTTCGTAAGCTGGGTCTTTATATGGCTACAGTACTGAGTGGGTATGTCATTTGTTGAAGATGAAATTAAATGTGTGCAGTTTTTAGAGCTCAGTTGATTACAACTCAGTTATCCACAACATTCAGCCTCTTCTAGGTCAGAGACAAAAATTCCTGTCAGTAAAAATTATGTGAGGGTGTGTGAAGACATTTTGAATGCACACTTTTCTGAATGCATGTTTTGTTTTAAAAAGTCACTGTCTTGCATTCTAAAAAAAACCAGCCACACACACAAAAAAAACCCAAACAAAAAACACAACAAGAAAAGAAGCAAGGGTAGTTAGTGTGTTCATTGTTTCATATTCTCAGCTTGGTGCTGAAACAGATAATACTGTATTTCTGAGTGAAGTAATGTTTCTGTTAGATACTAGAAGAATTTACAGAAGGGTGAGGTTGTGAGTTATGGCTTATGGGATGTTGCCAGCCTATTGAAAATACACAAAAACCTGGCTTCAGTTGGAAACCTCCCTGTGGGACTTCTGGGCCCAAGATGTACCAGCAGAGGCCCACCTCCACTGTCCAATACAAATGCATAGTAAGTGCAATGCACGAGAAATGGTACCAATGAGGAAACTGACCTCTTCCCACCTCAGTGCAGAGCAGGCAGCTGACATCAAGAGAAGCCCTGGGGACTGCACTGTTCAGTTACTCCTTCCAGGCAAAGGTAGCTGGTAGCAAAAGCAGCAGTTACTCTCTGAGTAACTTAGCCAAGCATCAGAACTTTTTTCCTATGATTTTTCTAGGCCCTTGGTGGCATAGAATAGTCTGGGATGGAGGCGGTTACACTGCACACTGTGGAGCCTTGCAGGCTCCTGCAAGTGATACATGTTGTAAGACCAGATCATGAGCTCTCTCTGAAGACTATCCTACAAAGAACCCTTTTGATAGATAAATGGATATTACAGTCCCAGTAATTTAAATGCATTTAAATTTATATTTCCAATTCAGTGAAGCGTAACTTCTAGGCTGTCCTGGTTCATTGCCTTAGCATCCACTCCTACAATTTCTTCAGTATATTAAGGATTTATTTATGTTTTGTTTAGAGGCTGGATCCAAAGTTGTTGAAGAGCTTCTTTCCCCTCACTTAGTTCATATTCATGCTATTCTTCAAATGACATTAACACACACTTTCTGAGAACCAAGCAGAGAGAAGGGCGATATATTAGTCTTAAATGCAAACTTCTCTATATATAGTGTAAAAGGATCTCCCTTTTTTTTTTTTTTACATTAATTTTTGCTAGACAATCATATGAATTTAAAAGTTGTTGTTTGGCTTTATGCATAAGCTAGTATGTTTGGACTAGCTGTTCAAAAATCATTTTAGGTACAATTACTTTCTAAGCCCTGATGGCTGCTAGGGTAGATCTCTGAAGCATTTCTGTCTCATACAGAACAGTGTGCAGTGTGTGATGCTTCAGGTGTTGTGGAGAACACCTAACAGCAGCAGCACATGTCTGAAAACTGACCATCAGGGCATGTTGTTATCAGATCACGGGAGCAAAGATGACAATGTATACGCAAGGCTATAGGCTTCACAGAAGAGTTGCTTGTTCTACATTTTCCAGCCTGCAAGAATATCCTTTTTTCCCCCCACCTCTTGGCAAACAAGAGTAGTTGTACTCTTTCTTAAACACAGCTGTACCCACCATCTTTCTGGTTTTCATCCTTATTTTCTTGACCACCTCTGTTTGCAGTGTGTTCTGTTCATCAGTGTCTTGTGTATCTATATCTGTCTATCATCCTCCATGTAATACTGATCCTGAGAATTAGAGTTTGTATGTCTTGTACTCCCTGTCAAAAAGAATGTGCAAGAGCATGAGGGCTGGTGTCTTATCCTCCTCTTCCTTTCCTTTAACTTTCCTCTCCAGCTTTTCTTCTAGCTCACCTTCTACCCAGATTTATTATTCATGACCTTTCACTTTCTCGGCCCTAACAGCTCTTGCCCACTGTTAGCTGCAACATAGTATAGAATCATAGAATATGCTGAGTTGGTTGGGGCCCATCAGGATTGAGTCCAACTCCTTTCCCTGTGTAGGGCACTTCAAGAATTAGACCATGTGCCTGAGAGCATCATCCAAACTTGAACTCAGGCAGGCTTGGCACTGTGACCATTTACATGCGGAGCTTGTTCCATTGCTCAGCCACCCTCTGGGTGAAAAACCTTTTCCTGTTATCTAACTTAAACCTACACTGATTCAGCTTTGTGCCATTTCCCTGAGTCCTGTCACTGGTCACAGGAGTGAGGAGATCAGGACCTGCCCCATCTCTTCCCCTTGTGAGGAAGCCATAGACTGCAATGAGGTCACCCCTCAACTTCCTCTTCTCCAAGCTGGACAATCCAAGTGACCTCAGCGATTCCTCATATGTCATCCCTTTCAGACTCTTCACCATCCTTGTGGCTCTCCTTTGGACACTCTCCAATTGCTTGATGTCCTTTTATGTTGTGGTGCCCAAAACTGCACACAGTACTCAAGGTGAGGCCGCACCAGTGCAGAGTAGACTGGGGCAATCACCTTCCTCAGTTGGCTGGCAATGTTGTGCTTAATACACCCCAGGACACATTGGCCCTCCTGGCTGCCAGGGCACACTGCTGGCTCATATTCAGTTTGCTATCAGCCAGGAACCCCAGGTCCCTTTCTGTCACACTGCTCTCCAGCCACTCGCTCCCTAGTCTACTTATTACCAGGGTTGCCCCATCCCAGATGCAGAATCCAGCACTTGCCCTTGTTAAGCTTCATGCCCAGCTCCCTGACCAGTCAAGGTCTTTCTGCAAGGCCTGCCTCCCAGCTTTGCATCCTCAGCAAGCTTGCCTAGAGTCCTGCATCCAAGGAATTGATGAAGATGCAGGGCCTAGGATGGAGCCCTGTGGGACCCCACCAGCGACTGGTCACCAGCCTGATGTTACCCCATTCACTGTCACTCTTTGTGCTTGACCTATAAGCCAGTTGTTCAGCTATTGTATGGTACACCTATCCAGCTGTATGTTGGACTTTGTCCAGAAGGATACTGTCAAAGACAGTATGAAAAGCTTTGCTGAAGGATTACATCTGCTGGCTTCTCTTGATCAACTAGGTGGGTTACCTTGTCATAAAAGGAATATAAGTTTGACAAGCAGGACTTGCCCCTTATGAAGCCATGTGGGGTGTGACCGATGACTGTGTTGTCCTCCAGGTGTTTTCCAATACCTCCCAGAATAATCCTTTCCATAATTTCACCAGGCACTGAAGTTAGACTGACTGGCCTGTAGTTTCCAGAGTCTTCCTTCTTGCCCTTTATTAATATTGGAAAAACATTATCCAGTTTCCTGTCAACTGGGATCTCTCCAGATTCCCAGTACCTCCCAAAAATCATAGAGAGAGGCCCAGTGATGAAATCAGCCAGCTCTTTGAGGATTCTCAGATGAATCCTGTCAGGCCCCATGGACTTCTAGGGATCTAACTGTAGCAGCACATCGCACACAAATTCAGGGTCAGCTAAGAGTTGATCCCTGTTGCAGTCATGGTACTCCAGTTCTGGGTGTTGAGGCCCCCCTTGGTCCATCATCAGTGTTGAAGACAGAGGCAAAGAATGTATTAAATACCTTGGTTTTATCTCAGTCTGTCTCAGTCTTTATGGCTCATTCAGATTACCATGAGGGAACAGACTTCCCACAGTGTCTCTGCTCCAGTTAGCCACTAAATACCTTCAGCCTCTCACATTTAATGGGGGCAGTGTCAGGATGAGTATGGTAGCAGTCACAGAGGAGGAAAATCAAAGCAGGAGGTAAAAAAAAAAAAAAAAAAAAAGCTGCAGCAAGCAGACTTCTCTTCAGTTGTTGATTATGATTTTTAGTATAAAAATCTCTGCTGCTTACTATGAGTTGCATTTTATGCATGAAAATAAGTATTACTTTAAATTTGTTTCATGAAAATCAATAGTAGCAAAGCGGATATGCGCAATACTTTATTTTGGATAATGACATGTTCTTGCTGCCACTAGAAAAAGTGCATATCTAAATTCTTTTAAATAACTATTTGGAAGCCAGTATGCTTTGAGATGTAGACATATTTGAAATGTTTACTCTCATCAACATTTTGTTAAAGACACCCAGTGATACTATACCATTTAATATTTTTCCTATGTGTTCTGCAGAATTCAGTTTGTTCTCAGGCGCTGTTGTATAAATTGTTAGTTTTCTTTCTAAAATTCTTTACAAAATTTTTTCAATATATGTTGCATATGGTTACTTACATTCCACTAAATAAATAATTTGTTCACATACAGAGTGGCTGTTGCTTTTAAAAAGACTATTTTTCCAGGGAGACAAACAGTGGTGCTGTTGTGAATTTCTCTACTGTGGCTACTGCTCTCTTAATTGCCTATTTTTGGCTGAACAAATGGTACCATGATTTATCCCTATCAGCTGCTTTGAAATTATAAAGCACTATTACAACACAGTAACATTTGCAGGAACATCTTGTGAGGACAGAATGAAAATCCCAAGGTCATATATGACAACAGTTCTGAGCTTCATGTTCCCAGGCTATGATAATTTCTTTTCACAAGAAGCTGATGCTGCTATAATTGCTTGTGACTTTGGAACATAGGACATATTTCACAGACCCTTCACATGTATTTCTTTTCAAATATACTTACAGCGGGCTGTTAACCTCTAATCTTAATGCCTGCAAAGCTCTACATTCATATGCATGCAGGAGTAATTCACAATGTTCAAAATTAATGCACAAGTTGAAGGATTAATTTGTCCCTGAGACCCACCTAAGTATCCAGGAAAATACACCTAAGTAGCTAAAGGCAAGAGGACAATTTGGTATTTTGCATGTCAACACACTTAATTTTAAAAATATTTCAAAAGACAGTATTTCAGCATTTTACAGTATCAAAGATGGTGAGACCACATACATCTCATTTGTACAGTCTGAAATACCCCACTACATTTCAATTGTAGACCCAAGCTTACATAGTTTTCTATAGTTTCTATAGTTTTTCATAGGATCATGTTTGAAGTTTCTGCAGAAAGATGTGCACATCCATGTCTGTGAGTGGGGACCATACTTACCTTTAACTCCAAAATGTGTCCTATAATAAAGGCAGATAAGCTTAAAAAAAAATAAATTAGGTTTTTCTGATTTATCTCTTATCAATTGTAAAGATTTGGCAAGAGGGTGAAGTGTTTTACCATATTTCAAATCAGCGTCTGCATATCATTTTAAATACTAGTTATTGCTTCAGTTTCCTTGTCTTCATCAGTTTAAAATCCGTTCCAATATATAAATTAATCCTTATTCTGCTTTGGAAGGAGAGACAATTAATAATCTCTCCCTTTCAAAAGGAAGTGTAGAAGAGCATCAGTCTGCATTTGTTAGGATGGTATACTCTTTGAATTTTGAATGTGTCACGAACATCACCCATAGTGTTTAAGTGTACTTGAGGACAGAACTAGATAGCTCTAATAATAGTTTTATTAAAAAAAGTCAACAAGATGTATCCACTTTTTTAACTAGTCCATTTTATTTTGCAGACTTGCAATCCATTCCGCTGTAATTCTTCCACTGATCTACTTAATAATAGTAAGGAAAAATCCTTTTCGATTTGCCATGGGGATGGCTCAGGCTCTTCTGACGGCCCTTATGATTTCTTCCAGGTAAAAAAAATAAACTTATTTTCCTTTAAGATCATGAAGTCCAACCATTAACCTAACACACTGCCAAGTCCACCACTAAACCATGTCCATAAGCACCACATTTACATGTTTTTTAATACCTTCAGAGTATTACACCACTTCCCTGGGCAGACTGTTCTAGTGTTTGACAACCCTTTTGGTAATGAAATATTTCCCTAATATTCAATCTAAACCTCCCCTAGCACAATTTGAGGCCATTTCCTCTTATTCTATTGCTTGTTACTTGGGAGAAGAAATCATCACGCACCTCACTCCAACCTCCTTTCAGGTAGTTGTACAGAGCAACAAGGTCTCCCCTCAGCCTCCTTTTCTTAAGGCTAAACAACGCCAATTTCCTCAGAGGCCCCTCCAAAGACTTGTTCTCTAGACAGTTTGTTCTCTTAATCAGCTTGGTTGTGCTTCTCTGGGCTTACTCCAGCACCTCAGTGTCCTTCTAATGAGGGGCCCAGAAATGCACACAGTACTCAACGTGTGGCCTCCCCAGTGCCAAGTACAGGGGCATGATCACCTCTCTCCTCCCGCTGGCCACACTCTTCCTGATGCAGGCCAGGACGGTGTTGGCCTTCTTGGCCACCTGGGCACACTGCTGGCTCATGCTAAGCTGGGCTGTCAAGCAGCACCTCCAGGTCCTTTTCCTCTAGGCAGATTTCCAACCACTCTTTCCCAAGCCTGTAGTGTTGCCTGGGGTTGTTTTGGCCCAAGTGCAGGATGCACTGCTTTGCTGTGTTGAACCTCACACAACTGGCCTCAGCCCATCGATCCAGCCTGTTCAGGTCTCTCTGCAGAGCCTTCCTACCCTTAGGCGCATCAATAGTCCACCCCAACTTGGTGTCATTTGCAGACTTACTGAGGGTTCCCTCATCCAGATCACTGATAAAAGACATTAAAGAGAACTGGCCCCAACACTGAGCCTTGGGGACCACCACATGTGACTGGCCTCCAGCTGGATTTAACTCCATTCACCACAACTATTTGGGCCCAAACACATGGCCAGTTTTTCACCCTGCAAAGCATATGCCTGTCCAAGCCACAAGCAGCCAGTTTCTCCAGGAGAATGTTGTGGGAAACTGTTTTGAAGTCTTTAGTAATGTCTGGGTAGACAACATCCACAGCCTCTCCCTTGTTGACCAGGTGGGTCATCTTATCATAGAAGGAGATGAGGTTGGGCAAGCAGGATCTGCCTTTCTTAAACCCATGCTGACTGGGCCCAATTACCCGCTTGTCCTGTACATGCCATGTGCTGGCATTCAAGGTGCCATATGTTAACTTTCTTAGTAGTAGTTGTATTGTTCGTGCTTTGATTTTACTGTTACTTTGTTACACACCCTAATTTCACCTGGACCATTCTAAATCCCCCGGAGGTATTCCATCATTACTTCTGTGGTACCCAAAGCAGCACTGTGGATTGTGTAGCCTTACATCAAACTAGAGTCTGCCCGTCCCAGGAGGAGACAGTTCTTTGCCATTCAGTTCATTAGGCACGGACTTGCTAGAGTTTAAGCTGTTGCACTGTTTCTGTGACAACACATATCATTATGGTTTTATAATGTAATTTTGACAGTACTAAGATTTTATTGTTTCTTCCCATAATTAGAAGAGATAACTAAAGTTACTTTGTTTTATAAGCCAGTTCTCTCTTTCATGGTCCAGCCTTCCAGCCTGCCTTAGATCTCTGGCTGAGTGTTGGAGCAGCGCAGGCTCTGAGGGGAGGGAAAGACAGGGGAAATGGTATGCTCTTTGTTCTCTGTGTTCACTTTGTGTGTTTGTCTGTGTGCCAGTTCAGCAACTTTGCCTGTCACCTTCCGTTGTGCTGAAGAAAAAAATGGCGTCGACAAAAGAATCACCAGGTTCGTTCTTCCGGTCGGAGCTACCATCAACATGGACGGCACCGCTCTTTACGAAGCAGTAGCAGCTATATTTATTGCACAGCTGAATGACTTAAAACTGGATCTTGGCCAAATAGTTACTATTAGGTAAGACTAAAGCCATCACATGCATTATGTTGGGGTAGCTTATTGTAATGAATATTCATTAGGCTGGGAGGATTGGCTGATGCACCAGAAGTCTCTGCAGCCATTCAGTGAGATTTGGACAGACTGGAGAGCTGGGCAAAGAGGAACCTAATGAGGTTAAACAAGAACAAGTGCAGAGTCCTGCACCTGGGAAGGAACAAAATGCACCAGTACAGGCTGAGAGGTGATCTGCTGGAGAGCAACTCTGCAGAGAAGGACCTTGAAGTCCTGGTAAACAACAAGTTATCCATGGGACAACAATGTGCCCTTGTGGCCAAGAAGGCCAATGGTATCCTGGCGTGCATTAGGAATGTGTCCAGCAGATCGAGGAAGGTTCTCCTCCCCCTCTACTTGGCCCTGGAGAGACCTCCCTTGGAGTACTGTGTCCAGTTTTGGGCTCCCCAGTTCAAGAGGGACAGGGATCTACTTGAAAGAGTCCAATACAGGGTTATGAGGATGATGTAAGGGACTGGAGCACCTGCCTTATGAGGAAAGGCTGAGAGACCTGGGGCTGTTTAGTCTAGAGAGGAGAAGACTGAGAGGGGATCTAATTACTGTCCATAAATACATGAGGGCTGGGCATCAAGAAGGTAGAGACAACTTATTTTTCACTTTTGCCCTGTGATAGCACAAAGACTAGTGGATTCAAACTCGAGCACAGGAAGTTCCACCTCAACATGAGGAAGAACTTTACTGTGAGGGTGACAGAGCACTGGAACAGGCTGCACAGAAAGGTTGTGGAGTCTCCTTCTCTGGAGACTTTCAAGACCTGTCTGGATGCCTTTCTGAGTCATCTGCCCTGGTTCTGGTCCTGGTCTGACAGGGGAGTTGGACTTGGTGATCTTGAGAGGTCCCTTCCTACCTCTAACCTTCTGTGATTCTGTGATTAACTTTGGATACAACGTGGTAAAGTTGAAAGTATCATTCACAGGAAGTAATACAAAACATTCTCGCCTCTTGGTCCAAGGCCCTGCCTGTGTAACCTCACAAGGAGGTGGGATGGGACAGGACATGCAGCTGGTATATAGCATCATTCTGAAAATTGACATTTTTCTTCCTCTGCAAACACTTGCAAACCCAACCTGGCCTCTACCTCTGCTGTATCGAGTTTGCTCATTAGTTACCTGCTGTTGTCCTGCAGTGTAACCATAACCCTATCTGTACATGACTTGTCCCATAAACTTGTCACCACACTATGAGTAAATACTATTCAAGAGGAAAGCTGGAACATTTGGGCTTCTTTCTGACAGTGAAATAAGCCTATTTGTGCCAGGAAATACAGTTTCTGAGAGCAATGTGTATTCTGAATGCCTTTTCTGGGCTTTATTTGGGATCTAGTGTGGCAGCCACAGCAGCCAGCATTGGGGCTGCAGGCGTCCCCCAGGCCGGACTTGTCACCATGGTGATTGTACTGAGCGCTATTGGCCTGCCTGCTGAAGATGTCACTCTCATCATTGCAGTCGACTGGCTTCTGTAAGTTAAGGCACTTGATATTAAATTCTTTGTGGGAGCATGTGGGGCTGAAAAAGAAAGCAACAAAAGCACTTGGGACTGTTGCAGGAATTAGGCAGGTTCTTTTTATAGCCAGCCTTGTTCCTGCACTGCCCTTTCCAGCCAGCAACCTATGTGTTTCTTAGATACGTATATAATAAGTCAGTTTTGAAAGCTATATAGAGAAATGCAAGTCTCCAGGAAACCAGGGCTATTGAATGGATCCAAGAATCAATCCCCTTTCAGTATGAGCATAATTGATCCAAACAAAACAGCTCCCGCCACAAGGATGTTCTCTGTAACAGAGTTCAACAGGTTTCTTTGCTGGGCTCCACGATAATTCCGTTTTCTCCAGGTCTGTTTTTTTTCCCAGTGGGCACTTAGTTTTAAGGATGGTGAAGATCAGTATGAGCCACTTGCTCAGAGCAGATCTAAAGAAGTCAGAGAACAGAACAAGCATACAATGGCTGTTTTTTCAAAGTACTTTCTTAGCCTCTGCAAATTGCAGCTCACAGAGCTCTTAAGCTAGAGGTGGGGTGATTTTTTTTTAATATATATATATAGTTCACAATAGATGTTTTCTTCTATGAATGCCTGCCTCATCGCTTTTGGGACCCATATACACTTTTAGATTTCCCCAAGTCCCATGGAGAGGAGTTCCACAAAATTGTGTGCACAGAAACTTACTTAATTTTGTTTGTTTTACCCTGCAGCCTAAGCATTCAATTACTGCCCTCTAATTCTTTTCAGGGAGTGAAAGAGAAAGAGAACAGTAATTCCCATGTTTCTCACAGTAATAATAATTTTGCGGATCTAGTCTCATCTCCACTTTAAAGGTCCACAGGTGATGTGATTCTGAGGCACAGTAAGAGTACCTGGGAACTACGTGTTCCATCAAGACACAGACAAAGAATTCAAGCTGTTTCTGATTCTAACTGAGAAGTTTTTCAGATTAAGGTGTTTTGCTGTGTAAAGCAAATTAAAGATTAATTTCATGTACCAGGGATCACTGCCAGTGCATTTTGCACCTCAGCAGATGGAATTTGCATCATGATGCCATGTAGATGATTAACATTTCTGCCTTTTGTACTTATTGCTTAAAATGTATTATTTTACAACCTGGTAGTAGTGGCTTATTAACAACCCTCTAGTTAATTCTGAACTTAGGAAGATTTTATAACGTACCCTTGAGAAAGCACTTCATGTTTTTAATTAAGAACAGAAAAATTTTGAGAAGCATTAGGAAATACAAGTTTTCAGTGCTATTGATTTTCTCACTTGTCACACTGATCCTACCAGAATTTTACTTCACCTCTCTCTGTTCCTTTCCCTGCCATATACTTCCTTTCCACATGGAGAACACATGGACACTTTTTAGCACTAGAGTTCAACAGTTTTAGTGGAAGAACATATGAGATGCACTGATTCACTTCAGTATTGTTTTTGCAGTCCCTTTTAATTGTGCAAATACCCACCTCTACATCTCCACACAGACAGAGCAATTTGTTCTGCCACAAAGCCCTTGCAGTGTTGAGTAACTGAAAGTAAAAACAGGGAAGCATGACCTTCCACTGTCTACCTTACTTCCATGCCAGTTTTCAGGCTTGGCTATATTGCATGGTTTTGTTGTTTCTCTGTCAAATAACAGTTGATTTTTAAGGTTTGCAAGACACATTTCTGCTGGGAAAAAAATCAACAGTACAGAGGTATTGTATTCATTTTAGTGACTTTTTTAATACAACTTGGTTCTTCAACCCTTTAACAAGGAGAAGATAACAGAAGGATAGCCTTTCCCATTTCCAGGATTTGGGCCAGAATACTGAAGACAGTGGGCTAGGTGCTAGTCCGGCTGAGGACATGATTGTTAGAAAGACAAAAAGAACAATGCTGACTCTTCGGCTGCACCCCACAGTCTCTTTTCCCAAGAAAAGCAGTTTCATCACAAAGAAAACCAGCTGTGTCATTTACTTCAGGGCCTGAGAAGAGATCCCTATAACATTTTATAAGGCTGTGCACAGCAGTGTAATTACTGCTTTAGCAGACTAGTGATCTGACTTGCAGTTTTACACACACTACACAAAGTAATTTGTCATGAAAGTGACTCCTGATTTCTTCAAATATAAGTTGGGAAAATTCTGTTTCTTGTTCTAGAAGATGTTTGTCTTTTAATTAGAGAATTATCCAAAATCTGCACTGCAAAAAAAAAAAAAAAAATTTAAAAAAATCTGCATTTGCTAGAGTAACTTACTTCTACTGAAGGGGTTTTCAAGGTAACATATGGAGTGGTTTGTCTAACAACATTGTTTTCCATAGGGATCGATTCAGAACAATGGTGAATGTCTTGGGAGATGCCTTTGGTACAGGGATAGTGGAGAAGCTCTCTCAAAATGAGCTGGAGCAGATGGATGCCACAGCTGAAGTCAACATAGTCAGTCCTTTTGCCTTGGAAACAATACTTGGTCACAACGAAGCAGGGACCAAGAAGTCATACGTCAACGGAGGCTTTGCTGTAGATAAGTCTGACACCATATCCTTCACGCAGACATCTCAGTTCTAAAGCCAGTATCTTTACAGGTAAAACAGGAGCACTAAAGGACATGGCCATATATAGTGTCTCAAAAAGCTTAAAGGATAGTTGAGAATACATTACATTTCACATGCATTTAATTTACTACACAGACTCTGATTCTCCTTACCACTCCTGCCCCTCTCCCAGCAGTTTGCACTCTCCACTTCTAGTTCTTGCTGACAGATGAAGAAAAAGGCAGTTGTAAAATACTTTTTTTTTTTTAAAGAACATACACTAATGCTGAGGCTATGAAATGCCTCTTTGCAATCAGCATGCTCATAAATGGGGATCTTAGCTGAGACAGCCAAACATGTTTTACTCAGGAGTAGCACAACATTCCACATCTTAACCACAATACACTGCATCTGTATGAAATCCCTTTTAACATCCTTGCCTTCTAAACAGATTGCACTGTATTTGACACCTACTGTAACTTCATCTTGTGCCAAAATACTCATTTCTGCAGCTGAGGGAATACCACTTGGGTTATTCAGGAAGGAACAGACCTGAAAGGCTTTGTAAAAAGTGTTTTATTGTGTACATGGTTTCATTTTTCTTTAATTGTGAAATAATTTGGCATGGAACAATTTCCATTCTTTATGTAGCTGGGTTTCCCCATGCCTTTCATGTGAATGCCATCTGCTGGTTTTGGCCTTCTTCTGTGAAATAAATGGCTGTGGCTTTGCTCTTCCAGCATTTGAAGAGTTTTGTAAATTGATACTTCACTGATTTAGTGGCCTCTTAGTACATTCCTTCAGAAGCAGAAAAAAGTCTGCTTACTGTTGTTCACGTTTGACTCTGACCGATGCATAGGGAAAATTCTAAACCTTTCCTCCTTGAAACAAAGCAGATAAAAAATAATATAGGAGGCATGCCTTTTTCTAGGAAGAGGCAACTGTAAGTAAGCTTTTTACTCTAACTGGTTGTTGTTCTGTTTCTTGGTTTAGTTTGCCAGTTGAACATGTAAGTTTGTAGCTTCAACACTACCTACAGTGCCAACATATCAGCTAAACTGTATCTTACAAAGCATTTCTGGACCCAGAAAGTCCTGTATTCAGAGGGCTTGATATATGGTAAGAAGCACCAAGAACTTTCTCATGAGGAATCTCCATTTTCTAAAACCTTTTATACAAGATTTCCATGGTGCAAAAATCAGTCTCAAGGTAGGATTGGCTGCAACAGTGTTTTTTGACTTGCACATTGAAGCTGTTTGCCATTTTATATATAAAGTAAACTGTAATTCATATACAGTCCTTTGTAAATAAGCTTGTGGTAAACCTAAAATTGCACTCATATGCTAATAAAAAAGCCTTGAAGATCCTGCATTGTTATATAATTGATTCAATTCTACACTTTTGTATTTAAATACACCAGAAGCGTGCCAAAGAGAACTGACTAAGTAAAAAAATAAAGGATTTGCTGTAGATTTTGATAAATTGCACCTTCAATCAACAGGTGAGACATGAGACATAATGAGACATAATACTGTATTTAAATTAAACATTCTAAACTATATCAGAAGTGTTAATCTAAGCATTGATATGTTTATACAAAACAAATAAACTGTACAGACTGAGTAAATCAATCTCTTACCTGTGCAGAAAATAGTATGAGGCAGACTTCATTTGTACAGCTTTGCTTATAGGAGGAAAAAAACCACAGTGGCTTCCACACTTAGCCTATAATCTATGCTCTGTCTTTTCTTTGCTTTTTTAAATCACACTTTTATGACCAATCCATTATATAGTCACCCTGTTACGATGTACTGTGAACAGTGTTCCTAACATGTTCTGAATAAATAATTTCTCTCTCTACGCTTGTTTTAGCCTACCATCCTCTCCTCACTTAGAATATTGTGTTTCTTTAGCTATAGCAAGAAAAACGAAACTGGCTGAAATTAGGATTTATGTTATCGTTACTAGTGACTCAGCTGTAGCTTTGGCAAGAATTACTCTTCCTGTCTGATAAAAATAAATGCTTTAGAGCACACTCTCCTGAGATGGCAAGAAAGCCCTCTAACTGTGGATTCTCTGGATTTTGAGTACGCTATCAAACACATGCTAAGCAGGGGATTATTTATTATTTATTTATATGGACCAGATTCAACTAAGCAGGGGTTGATGTTTTGCCTTCTGTTCACCACTGAGAAACAAAACTATGTACTGAAGAAACAAGGATGCTTTTCTTGTCAGAATATTCTGAGTATGTACCTCCAGTATAGGTGGAAACATCCTGCATGGTCAATGCGTCCTCTTCACCATAACCTTCTGGTCTGGAACCTTTGGAGGTTGATGGAAGGTCTCCCATCAGAAAGGCACCTGCAGGTTTTGGCCCTCTACATCATTGTTATGTTCCTCCAGACATTTGGGGCTGCAGAAGCTATCACAGGACTGGAGCCTGCAGTGCTTTTGGGGCACACTGGGGCTTTCTTTATGGCTAATGCAAAATAGCCAGTGCACTAGATAGGCATTAAATTGTCCAGCATCCCTACTGGCTGTGTACATCTGCCTTCTGCTACCGTGTGTGCATATAATCCAACATTTCCTGAACTACAGGGTCAGAAGTCTCAGGACTCTCAAAGAGCTTTCCCGCTTTTGTCTGCACAGGCAACACAGGCAAAAAAAAATAATTAAAAAAAAACAGCCCAGAAGGCAAATACTCCTTTACTTTGACCATTCTAAAGCAGGTTGTCAGGGTGCCAAAATTCTCAATAATAACTCTGAGGAGTCCAAAAGGCAATTGTTTTATTTTGTTCATGAAAGTAAACAGTCTAGTAAAATCATAGAAATCTTTCTTTTGATGGGAGTTCTTTGTACTGTGAACAAATGGTATTTGCCTGTGACCAGCAAGCACATCTGTGGGGATCAGCCGTGTGGGTGGTTTGGTTCTAGCTAAGAACTGTGAAAGCTTCCCATTTGTCATAGCAGCCTACTCATGCTCCCATATAGACCTGTTTTGAAAACCAGGTCTCTTTAGGCAGTCCATCTTCTGTTGTGTTGTGTGATACAAATATCCAGAGGTGGTCCCCACTGGAGGGTTCTCATAATTTTCATGGAAGCATTTGATCCAGCCATAGAAAAAGCACCCATTAAATTAAAAAGCAGTTGGCACCCCATCAATAACTGTACAGACATCCAAATAGGATCCTAATTGATACTCACCATCTTGTAATGTTAGACAGATTTGGATATTTTGCTTTCTAGCCACATACATATGTGGCAGTTAAGACACAGACTCCAGAGTGAGAAGCAATGGAATTGTTTATTATGAGAAAATGCTCCCTTATATACTTTTACAGTGGGAACTGAGAGTAAGCAACCAGGGTACAGAGAATGTAAACAGCACTTACACCTGCTCCTTGGCACATACACACTCCTTGGGTTCCCAGGATGTAGCCAATCACACACCAAGCACATGATAGTGTTCTGATTTCTGTCAACATTCACAGTGCTGTTCACAACAAGCCCTGGCCCTTGGCGGGTGTCATATTGTTTTATCTACTTTGTTACAGATAGAGGAGGTGCTTTTTCTTTTCCCATGCCTATTCTCCACATCTCCCCCTTTTTTGTTTTTTCAATAGCCACTCAAGATGAAGGTGGACACGATCTGGGCTTTGGTGTGTTGCAATCGTTGAATGGATGTCCAGATGCAACCATACCAGCTGCAGCCTTTGTAGCCGCTTGTTTTAGCCTACCATCCTCTCCTCACTTAGAATATTGTGTTTCTTTAGCTATAGCAAGAAAAACGAAACTGGCTGAAATTAGGATTTATGTTATCGTTACTAGTGACTCAGCTGTAGCTTTGGCAAGAATTACTCTTCCTGTCTGATAAAAATAAATGCTTTAGAGCACACTCTCCTGAGATGGCAAGAAAGCCCTCTAACTGTGGATTCTCTGGATTTTGAGTACGCTATCAAACACATGCTAAGCAGGGGATTATTTATTATTTATTTATATGGACCAGATTCAACTAAGCAGGGGTTGATGTTTTGCCTTCTGTTCACCACTGAGAAACAAAACTATGTACTGAAGAAACAAGGATGCTTTTCTTGTCAGAATATTCTGAGTATGTACCTCCAGTATAGGTGGAAACATCCTGCATGGTCAATGCGTCCTCTTCACCATAACCTTCTGGTCTGGAACCTTTGGAGGTTGATGGAAGGTCTCCCATCAGAAAGGCACCTGCAGGTTTTGGCCCTCTACATCATTGTTATGTTCCTCCAGACATTTGGGGCTGCAGAAGCTATCACAGGACTGGAGCCTGCAGTGCTTTTGGGGCACACTGGGGCTTTCTTTATGGCTAATGCAAAATAGCCAGTGCACTAGATAGGCATTAAATTGTCCAGCATCCCTACTGGCTGTGTACATCTGCCTTCTGCTACCGTGTGTGCATATAATCCAACATTTCCTGAACTACAGGGTCAGAAGTCTCAGGACTCTCAAAGAGCTTTCCCGCTTTTGTCTGCACAGGCAACACAGGCAAAAAAAAATAATTAAAAAAAAACAGCCCAGAAGGCAAATACTCCTTTACTTTGACCATTCTAAAGCAGGTTGTCAGGGTGCCAAAATTCTCAATAATAACTCTGAGGAGTCCAAAAGGCAATTGTTTTATTTTGTTCATGAAAGTAAACAGTCTAGTAAAATCATAGAAATCTTTCTTTTGATGGGAGTTCTTTGTACTGTGAACAAATGGTATTTGCCTGTGACCAGCAAGCACATCTGTGGGGATCAGCCGTGTGGGTGGTTTGGTTCTAGCTAAGAACTGTGAAAGCTTCCCATTTGTCATAGCAGCCTACTCATGCTCCCATATAGACCTGTTTTGAAAACCAGGTCTCTTTAGGCAGTCCATCTTCTGTTGTGTTGTGTGATACAAATATCCAGAGGTGGTCCCCACTGGAGGGTTCTCATAATTTTCATGGAAGCATTTGATCCAGCCATAGAAAAAGCACCCATTAAATTAAAAAGCAGTTGGCACCCCATCAATAACTG